TCTTTGCAAAACTTGATATGTGTTAATGAGAGAGGAATCGAGGTAGGCATTTGCTTCTAAATCTCTGTTTTCTCATTTTTAACTCAGGATTAAATTTACCTGTTTGGCTCATTGAGAACAATGGCAATAGTCCTAATATAAGTAAGAAAGTTCCTGAGAAGCACTCTGGATGGAAAAACTGATTGTCTTAAATTAGATATGTTAAACTTGAGATCATGTGAAATCTGAGCAGCGGTTAGCACATGGAACTGAAGGACAGACAAATGAAAGATAATCAATAGAAATGATGACTGAGAAGGGTGTTCAAAGGCAGTGGCTTAAGCCATGGTCCCACAGTCTTTCTCTCTACAGGTCCAGACAGGAAATCCTTTCATTTTGAGGACCTCACGATCTTATTCGTAGCCTCTCAAGTCTGCTGTTACAGCCCAAGAACAATTTGGACAATATTTAAGCAAATGGGTGTGGCAATGTTCCATTACAACTTTATTATTGGACAATGAAATTTGAATTTTATATAGTTTTCACGTTATGAATTTTTTTTTTTTGGAGTTGGGATCTCACTCTGTCACCCAGGCTGGAGTGCAATGGCATGATCATGGTTCACTGCGGCCTTGACTTCTTGGGCTCAGGTGATCCTCTCACGTCAGCATCCTGAGTAGCAGGGACTACAGCCATGTACCACCACACCCAGATAATTCTTTTATTTTTTGTAGAGACATGGTCTTGCTATGTTGCCCAGTCTGGTCTTGAACTCCTGGGCTCAAGCAGTCCTCCCACTTGGACTTTCCAAAGTGTTGGGATTACAGGTATGACCCATGGTGTCCCAACTGAAATATCTTTTAATTTTTTTCCAGTTATTGAAAATGGGCTGGCTGGATTTGGCCTAAGGGTCATAATTTGATGACTTTTGCCTTATACCAACAAATCATTTAAGTTTCAAGGGATAAGTAAATAGCTTAGGACAGACATTTAAGAACTGGATCTTTGGAGCTTGTTTAGAGTTTGTTGGAAATCAGAAAAAGAGATGGAGAGGAACTAGTGTGCTACAGCGTCAATGAAGAAGCGTTCAAGAGTCAAGTGGTTAGCAATATGTGGTTAAGAAGATAATTGAAAAGACGAGGAGAAAGAAGAAGGCTATTGGTACTATTCAGGTCACCGATGACCAGTGAGAATTAAAAAAAAAAAAAGAAAAAAACCTCTTAGAAATAGAGTGTCAGGAAATAGAAAGATAATATGTGGAGAAGAACTGGAAGTTGAAGGTTTCTAGCAGCCATTCAAGGAGCTAATAGTTTAACTCTGAGACAAGCAGGAAAACAATTGTGGGGTCTTTGGTGCTGGTTCCTTTCCACTAATGCATGGCCCTTTATTAAGCATAAGGCTGCTTAGCTATCTCTTCAGATTTTATTCACTGATTTAACATGTACTTGCATATGCTTACCACATGCCAGGGACTGTTCTAAGAACTGTATCAATCATGACTCATTCAGTTATCATCATAACCCTGTGGTGTAAATACTGTTGTGACTCCATCTTACAGATGAGCAAAGCAAGGCCTGGAGAGGCATCCTACATGGATGGAGTCTTCTTCTGGTGAGTGGCTAGTGAGCCAGGTGGAATAGCTCCAGAGTTAGGCTTGTTACTCTTAATTCTATGCTGTGCTGTGAAGTTTTCCATGTCGAGGATATTAGAACTTTTTTTTTTTTTTGGCTGCTGCTATTATTTGGCTGAAGTTGGAATAAGAAGTACCATGGATTTCTGTCTTTTTTGTTGAATGTATACACTGAGCAATTTAAAAACACTAGATACTTCCCTAAAATCATGGCTCTTCGGCTGGGCTCAGTGGCTCAGCCTGTAATCCCAGCACTTTGGGAGGCAGAGGTGAGTAGATTGCCTGAGCCCATGGGTTTGAGACCAGCCTGAAAAACTTGGTGAAACCTCATCTCTACCACAAATCAAAACTTAGCCGGGCCTGGTAGCGCGTACCTATAATTCCAGCTACTTGGAGGGCTGAGGCGGAAGGATCGCCAGAGCCCAGAAGGTCGACGCTGGGGTGGCCATGAACATGCCACTACTACCCTCCAGGTTGAGCAACAGAGTGAGACTTCAACTCAAAAACAAAACAAACAAACAAAAAAGACACAAACAAACAAACAAAAAAAACATGGCTCTTCAATAAACCACAACGCGGAGACATGCAAATTATATGGTGAAAACACTTCCCTGTGCTTATGCTTTTATGAAGGATATAAAATAAGAGATGACAATGTTGTTGGGGAAAATTTTATAATTAATAAGCTCTTCTAAAATACAACTTAAGGTGTAACACAGTTAACAAATATCATAATTTATTTGGTTTATTACCTGAAGATCTGGATCTACAGAGTTACAAGGGAGCGTGGGAGAGGGCAGAGAGGATGAGTTGGAAGCCTGCTTCCTACCCCTGGACTTAGCTGGTGTGTAACCAGGCACAGCCAGTCCTTCATATCTGTGGGTTCCACGTCTGTAGATTCAACCAACCATAGAACAAAAATATTTGGAAAATAAAAAAATAAAAAAAGAATACAACAGGAAAAAAGAATACAAATTTAAGAGCCAATATAGTATAACAACTACTTCCATAATATTTACATTGTATTAGGTATTATAAGTAATCTAGAGATGTCTTAAAGTATACAGGGGGATGTGCAAAGGACATGTGCAAACACTACATCATTTTATATCAAGCGCTTGAACTTTCAAATATTTTAGTACCCAATGGGGTCCTGGAATGGATATTGAGGGATAACTGTAGTGGCATTATCTTTTCACAACTGTGGTCACTTAATAGAAGACTTAATATTGGGCAAGAAAGGAAACGACAGCATGCATGACTCTTTCTATGGTTCATTTTCTAAGGGATAGAAGAGCATTTTTCTAGTTCTGGTGGATGAAATTGCCTCTCACAACCTGAAAAATGTATCCCTTTTTAAAATGAGAGCCAGGAGGATTCATTGTACAGAGTTTTGTTTCATTGCTATCATCTCCTTCAAGGTTTTACTCAAATCTTACCTTTCCATGAGAATGACCCTAACTCCCGTAATACTGCTATGTGGCCATAATCCCCCTGCCAATAAACCACTTTTATCTTGCTCAACTTTTTTTGTCTTGGTCATTGTACTCTTCACCTTCTAATATACCATATAATTGCAGTTTATTGTCAAATAATGTAAACTCCACCAGGAGTTTTGTCTAAAGATATATCCCAACTGAATGAAAGAGCAGCCTTTAGTATATGGTGCTCAATAGTTATCTTTTTAAGGAATGAATGAATGCGTGTTTGGATGCCGCTGTAGAGCAGAGGGAAAACTACATGCTGTGGAGAAGTGAGCATTTTTAGGGCTTGTTTTCATGGAAGAAAAGTTTCTGTTTTCAACTGGAAGTATGTTTGGTGACACTTAACCTCACACACTGATGGATTGTGAATAGGAGTGTTTCTGCCCAGAAGTGTACCTACCTCTAATGCAATGAGCAGAGCGAGGTCACTCCTGCAGATAAATTTGTTTTCCAACGGGGAAATTTGCCCACTTATTTAAGGCAGCTATATAATCTGACTTACAGTCTCAGTTGTTTCTCATTTGCCATCTGGCAATTTAATTACTTTAAAAATAAAACTGTGTATAGAAGGAAAGAACACGAATTAGAAATCTGTGATAATAGGTATGTAAGATGGCAATATTTTTATTTTCTTTGTTTTTTGTTTGTCTTTGCTGTTGTTCAAAAAATAAGATTAAGGGGATAAAAAGATTTGAAAAGGACTCATTCCAAAGCTTTTTCTAGAGAGAGCCCCTTACATAAATTTTATTCTTTTGACTAAGAGCCTTTGCTATAAACTAAATGTTTTTAATTAGTGGATTGTTACATTTTTCCATTCAGTTATAAGTTTGGCCCAAAGCTATGAAGTAAGGGGTCGTCTAAACGGTTTCAAAACTGTTTGGCCCTGACATGGGCCAGGCTGAGATGTGAGGAACATTCTTTTCCTTTATCCCCTTTTGTAGTCCTTCCTGATTTGTGTGGATTTTCCCCCCTTTTGTTCCTATCCCTTCACTCCTGGAATATATTTTTCCAGTGCCTACTTCAATCCCATTTCTCATTTCTCTGTCTTTATTTGTGTTTCCTCAGTTCTCTGTGGTTGATTGCAAAGGGCAAAAGAACCAGAACTTTGTATGGTATATTTAAGTTAAAGAGTAACTCAAATAATGTTTGTTTAAGACTTCTATAAGGGAACTGTGGAATTCTTAAAACCAGGAGCTTAGGTGATAATTACATTTCAAATAAAAGATGAAAATGATTTGGGTACTTGATATGACTTCTCATTTGGAGTGGGAAAGTTGTACTTTTTGGTTGTTTTTAGATTTTCTTTTCTTTTCTTTTTTTTTTGAGAGTTGTGGCAGCTAAATGCAAATAAGATACACTTTGAAACACACAATGCTGATTCTCAATCACTGGCAAAGGGTGAGAAGACAGGGCATGCTAATTTGCACAAAAATGCAACCAAGTCATCATTTACAGCTCCTTAGAGATTCCATTCTAAAGTTTTGCTGCTTGTACATGTTCCTTTGGTATCAGGAGGCAGAGTCTAGGGGCGTGGCTGGGAAACAATAGTGTGGCTTTTTCCCCTCTAAATCAGTTCAAATCCCATACACCCTGAATTAACTGGAATTGCTCTCAGACTTGTCGGCTCCTGCAAAAAAAGATCTGGATGTTCATAGTAGCCTAGTGAAATGGGGATCAATTTGTTTCATCTTGATTTCCATAGAGGAAAAGCTGCACTACTTTTATGGACTCCAGAGAGGAGAAACTTCAGATCAGTTAGAGAGAAAACGGAATGAATGGGCACCGAGGCAAAAGCCTGATGTGGCTATCATGCAAATAAGAACTGTGATTGGCTTTCTCTTTCTTTCTGTGCACGATGTCACTGGCTGCTCTCAGCCTTAAAGATTAGGTTTCAGTGGGAGTTTTTCAGGTTCAAGGACTGTTAATGGTTTGTAACTGCCTGACAATAAGCTCAACCTCAAAGTTACATCAGCCTGGGCAGATGTCTAAGGATATGAGACTGGAAGAAGAAAAGGTAGAATCTGGAGCAGAAGGACGAAGCTTGCCACCTGCCTACTAGACTGAGCTTTTAATGTGATTTAAATTTCTAAGCTCTATGCAGGCGTCCTGGAAATGGTGGTCTTCATTAATGCAAAGATTAAGTCTTTAATTAAACTTTTTAAGAAGAAAAGTAAGTAGTTCTTTTCTCCCCACTATCTATTGTGTGGTATATGTTCCTGTGTCTATATGCGTGTGTCTGTGTTTTTCTGTGTGTGTGTGTGTGTGTCTTTGTGGGTATCTGTATGTGTTATATGTCCTGCTTCATTCTTCTACATGATGAAATTAGTGTGAAACAGTATAATTGGCATGAGTTAAACTCCATTCTATACTGGGTTGTTTAAATACCTTAGACTTTTGTAACTCTTGGACAGTATTGTGTGATCTTAGCATGTCTTATTTATTTATGATTGAGGTTTTAAGTGAAGTCACTTCTTTGTGCTTCTCAGAAGAAGTCCTTTGAAGGAGGGGAAAACGCTTTATTTAATTTATGTTTCCCTTGATATGGTTTTTTAATTCTTTGGCTAAATATGCAGCTGGAGTAAGGGACCCTCTGTGTAATGTATCACATATTTTTGATGGGGATAATCCCCTAAAACCCCCTGGCACTCTTTGTTATGTATGTAAGAGCTCACGGACAAACTGTCTAGACTGATCAGCGATGACTGTAAAGCACAGGGCTTTTGTGGTATGGCTTTGCCGTGTACTTTTCGTCGGTTTAAATTTCTTTAATCCAGGTGCTTCTTCATTCTCTTGAAGATGTAATTTTTAGAACTACATGGCTTTGTTTTTACATAGTTTGTGGTTTATTCTGGCTTAGTTTAGTTTTTGGAGCAATAGCTTAAACTGGACAAATGTGCATGGGTAGGGAGCATTAGGTAAGAAGCTTTGGAAAGAGCGACAAAGTTCACTCGGGGCTTGTTCTTTGCCGCTGCCTTGCTGAAGCCTGTGGATTAGAAGCTGTCCTGGCGAGAGTGAGGGGCACTAGGGCTTCATTGACGCCAGTTGGTAGCTGTGCCGTAGGGCTGATGGTGCAGTTGCTGGCACAGCCATGCATTACCGTTCCTTGGATTTGGTTTGTAATCAGCAAATAGGAGAAGTTTTCATTTTCAATATTTTCTGACAATGGAATATGATAACTCAATCTTTAAAATAAATGGACATCAGCACAAAACGTAGTCATGAACTCTAGCTGCACTTTGGGGGATGTGGCGAGCTTGGCCCAGTGCTAGATTCTCTGAAACACAAATGAAAGTTAAGTCAGGACTTTGTGCATTTCAGGCACTAAGAGTGATAGTTATTTGCACCATGCAGAACATTTGTTCAACAAGAGATTATGTGAAATACTAGGTGCCTAATTTACTTGCTGCTTTTGTCAACATTATAAGCAGAAAACACACAGGACATCCCTGTTTTTAACTTGATAGCTAGATCTCAGTGTTTATTTTCCCATTTAGCAATTTATGGAGAAGTCAGGATCCTTTTAAAAGTGAATTTATCTTTTTAGATTCATAGGATTATAAAATTTAGTAGCTGTAGTCTAGATAAGATATGGAGTGAGAGCTAACCTGTGACCCAAATCTCCAGAAAGGCTGGGAAAAGCCCAGTTTCTCCTTAGTGATGGGTCAAAGTTTGGGGCTCCTTTAGATAATTTTCACTGTTCCTGCCAAAGTCATGCTTTGCAGGAGTTATTTCTTGAACTAAGAGCTTTGCACAAATTAGTTCATTTGATCTTTATAACAGCCCTAATAACTGTGCTATGGGATATGTTTAGCTAATTTTAAATACATTTAAGTAGATGCAGTAGTTCATTCATGCTTTTCCACTGGACTTTAAGAATCTGAATTTTTTATCTGGTCTCCAGGCACTTGTTATGCTGTAGAAATGGATGTGCCTAGTGTGAACATATAGTATAGGTAAAATCAGGGGAGACTTGCTTCTTCCTCATAAATTGATACCTGCTGGTTTGGCAGGAAGATGAAAGGAAAATTATTATGGAGATATAGCTTTGTCTCAGGATTGCCTATCATTCTCCCTTCTAATGTTTTCATCTTTTTTGTGCTGGGAAAGTTCAATTGAATTGGATTGTATTGGGAAGAGTCAGTCACATTGTAATTTTTTAAACAATATTTTAATATAAAAGCATCTCATGAAGGCAAGAAAAACAGAAACTATTATAGCACATCTCCACGTTTATTAGATATGCCATTTAAATGTTTTAAATTGAATGCTTATGCTTAATTTTTTTAAATGTACTGAGTTTATAACAGTGATACTCTTTAAATAATGCTGTAGAGGGGAAGATTTTGGTGTCAACCTCCTGGTAGGCAATTTGTGTCTGTCAGGGCTATCTAGCTTTACTGATGCAATAGTTTTATACAGTTGGGTAATTGGTATTTGTTGTGGGAGGGTTTAGCAGGAATTGGAGGTTTCTATCAGTTTTGTCAGTTATTTTCGAATATTGACAGAGAAGGAAGACCTAAAATGTTGGGAAGCAATGAATTGAGCAAATGATTATAAGAAAACATTGTATGGAAGATGGACTGTTTCAGCTCAGTTTTTCCTTTGTAGAGAAAACACTGTGGGGAAGACCCCTGGAGTCTAAAATGCAGTCTCATCTAAAATTTGTTCCATTTCCCTCTCGCTGGTCCTAACTCATGGATGTGTTAGGCACCAAAACATCATCTTGATGTAATAAATTTGGAGACAGTGAAGCTTAAGTTGACACCTGACTTTATTCTATTTTTCTTTCTATAGCGGTTTCCAACTTAGATGAAGAGAGCCGATGGACAGTCCACTACACTGCTCCATGGCACCAGCAGGAGAATGTGTTTCTTCCCACCACAAGACCCCCCTGTGTTGAGGACCTGCACCGCCAAGCCAAGCTCAACCTCAAATCAGTATTGAGGGGTAAGATGGCATCCTCCTTTTGCTTGTTGTCTTGGGTTACTGACTGTTCGAATTCAGAGTATAAATTTGATCTCTATCTGTAAAAGAATATCTATTTTTAATGAATATGTATAGTATACTGTGTCTTTAATATAAATACAGCCTGATACATGCTTAAAATATTCTGGTCGCCGGGCTCGGTGGCTCAGCCTGTAATCCCACACCTTTGGGAGGCTAAGGTGAGTGGATTGCTTGAGCCCCACGGGTTCAAGACCCGCCTGGGCAGCGAGACCTCATCTCTACAATAAATCAAAAAATCAGCTGGGCGTGGTAGCGCATGCCTGTAATTCCACCCAGCTTCAACTAAATGGAACAAACAAATTTGTTCAGAAAAACAAATTTGCGTTGAATACTTAGAACAGCTTTTTAAAAGGCAGTGGCAAAATATCCTGTGCCAGCAGGGATTTATTTGGATAAAATTAGTACTGGTGGTTTAAATATACTAAAGTATTTTTTTTCTGAGCAGGGTTGGGTTTTTTTAAAAGATAGATTTGCATATCTACAAACAGGCAGGTTTCTGCAGAGACCAGAATATTTTTTTTTTTTTTGAGTTGGTGTCTCACTCTGTTACCCAGGTTAGAGTATAGTGTCACACTCACAGCCACCCCAGTGTCAACCTGCTGGGCTCTGGCGATCTTTCTGCCTCAGCCTTCCAAGTAGCCAGAACTACAGGGGTACGCTACCACGTCTGGCTGATTTTTGATTTATTGTAGAGATTAGGTCTCGCCAAGTTGCCCGGGCTGGTCTCGAACCCGCAGGCTCAGACAATCCATTTGCCTGGGCATCCCAAAGTGTTGGGATTACAGACTGAGCCACTGAGCCCGGACAAAGAGGGCTCTCTAAAGGTGATAAAGAAGGAGGAAGTTCTTCAAAGAGGAAGAAGTGACTTGTGAAATTCAGAGACTTAGCACAACAAACCAAAGTTGTTTGTTTGCTTGCTTTTGTTTTGTTTTTGTTTGTTTTTTTGAATTGGGTCTCACTCTGTCACCCAGGCTGGGGTACAGTGGCATGATCACAGCTCACAGCAGCCTCCACCTCCTGGGCTCAGGTGATCCTTCCACCTCAGCATCTCAAGTAACCAGGACTACAGGCACGTGCCATCACATCTGGCTAATTTTTTTATTTGTTATAGAGACGATATTTCTCTATGTTGCCCAGGTTGGTCTCAAATTCCTGGGCTCAAGCAATCTGCCTGTCCCAGCCTTCAAAGTGCTGAGATTACAGGTGTGAGCCACCATACCCAACCCAAAGTGTTTATTCTGCCAGATGCTGCTCCTACCAGATTTCTCCTACCATGCAATATTTGGGACATAAGTATACCAAATAAATATTTGTTGTTTATCTGAAACTTAATTTAACTGGGCACCCTGTGTTTTATCTACTTATGGAAGACTTAAATCTGGGAGAAATTTTATTACCGATTCAAGGAAAACCTAGCATGAGGACCCCTCTAATTTTTATGACAATTTTTACTTGTATCTCAGTCATTTATTAAGTGATTCATCCTTTAATGTACTACCACTATGATTATTAGCTAACATGTATTAAATACTTAACTATAATATCAGGTACTGTTCTAAGCCTGTTAACTGTAGTATATCATTTAATCCTCACAATACTCCTACTGGTTAATATTACTATACTCAGATGAAAAAATGGAGGCACAAAGATTAGAAACTTGCCCAAGATCTCCAAGTTAGTTAGCAGTGGGTCCAGGATTTAAATTTGAACAGTCTGAGACTGTGGACCTCATATTCTCAACTACTGCCTTTAACAGCTATTTGTTAGAGATCTATTTTTCTGGCAGAAGTGCAGAATATAAAGGCAGGGTCATATCTCTCAAGGAATTTTTACCTTTATCCATAGTGAAAATCACAGTATGAAAAGTACTCAGGAGATAAGTGAAAAGTTGCCATATGGGAATTTAAAAAAGCAGATAATTTCTGCTTAGGAAGAGAAGGAATAGCTGTCAATAGATTCACAGTCCATTTAGTGTTCTGAACATTTTATCTTATTTATTTGTTTATTATTTATTTATTTATTTATTTTGAGTTGGAATCTTACTTTGTCGCCCAGACTGGAGTGCAGTGGCATGGCCACCGCAGCCTTGACCTGCTGGGCTTAGGTGATCCTTCTGCCTCAACCTTCCAAGTAGCTTGTGTACCACCATGCCAAGCTAATTTTTTTTTTTTTTTAATTTCTTGTAGAGGTCAGGTCTCGCCAAGTTGCCCAGGCTAGTCTCGAACCCATGGGCTCAGACAATCCTCCCCTCTCGGCCTCCCAGAGTGCTGGGATTATAGACGTGAGCCACCGTTCCTGGCCTATTTTTATTTTTTATAGAGATGTGAGTTACAAGTGAGGATTAACTACATAGGTAGGCTGCATGCAGGTGAAGTTTGGGCTTCCAACTGGCCCTCCTTTCCCTGGTAGTGAATCTGGTACTCTTTGTTTTGTCACGTGACCCACATCCTCCTCCCTTCTTCCCTCGCTCCACTAGCAGGGCCCACTGGCCTTCCTTGTGTTCATGTGATTATTGCTCGGGGCCCAGTTATGAGTGAGAACATGTGGTATTCAGTTCTGTGTTTTTGTGATGGATCACTTAGTATGACTTCGCAGAAAATTAGATGGAGTTGGAGACCATTATACAAACATTTTAGATCACAGCCCTGTTTTTTTTTTCCTTTAATCTTTTGTAATGCTCAGATTATCTCATGTATCTTATAGTATCTTGGGTCTTATAGTCTTGGCATTGAGCTGTCCAGAAATGACAGGCATTATTGGGTTCCCTTTTCATTTAGCCTGAGTAACCTATATGCTTTGTGACTATGATCTTAAATGAGAAGAATGGCATTACTTTGGCTCACTTGGATGGCCTTGTTTGGAGTTGTGCTTTGAGCCTTGTTGCCTTCAAGATATTGGTCCCCTAATGGGCCTAAATCCAACCAAAATTTCTTCTAAATCCCTTTAGGTTCTAGTGATTTATCTTTAGTAAATTTTGACAAGGAAATAGTACTCTTCTTATAGCTCACCTTTCTCCACCAAGTAATTAATAAGAATGTTAAGTGGCACTGTTCCCAGTACAAATCCCCGAGGCAATGCCTTGTTAGCATTTCTCTGCCCATCTCCACCTGAGCAACAGAACTGTGCATGGTCTGGCTTGTAGAAAACACTTTTGTGAAGGTATGTGTGAGTCTGAATATTCAGGCTCAACTGTTTTTTGATCACACTCCAGGAAATTGTGCTTCACTACCTATTTTCATGTACTTTCAAGTTCTAGATCACTACTTTCCTTCCCTTAAAAAATTGAATATCTATCTATCTATCTATCTATCTATCTATCTATCTATCTATCTATCTATCTATACTTTTCTGCTTTTATTTTCTTTTTGACTGTTTAGTACATCTGTGTGAAATATTATCACCACTGGTTTTGCCTAAACTTGAATTTTATTTTGAAAAGATGAATACTTTTGTAATTGCCTCAATGTCCTAAAATGATGCTTTGAAAGGGATTTACTATTAACAGAATAAATTACTTTGGAAAATTCCTGGAGCTCAACTTTTAAAATCTAGATTTCAAAATTTCATAAGAAACTTTAGATAAATTATAACTTTACAAATAGTAGTTGGAAAGATGAAATGAGAAAGAGTATCTGAGTTCTTTTGTTGTTTATTTACTTTTTTTTTTTGAGTTAGAGTCTCACTTCGTCGCCCAGGCTGGAGTGCTGTGGCACACACAGGGCCACCCCAGTGTTGACCTGCTGGTGATCCTTCTGCCTCAGTCTTCCAAGTAGCTGGGACTATAGGTGTGCACTACCACGCCAGGCTAATTTTTGATTTATTGTAGAGACAAGGTCTTGCCAAGTTGCCCGGGCTGGTCTTGGACCCGTGGGCTCAGGCAATCCCCTTGCCTCGGCTTCCCAAAGTGCTGGAATTACAGGCTGAGCCACCGAGCCTAGCCTATTTATTTACTTTTAATCACATGTACAGAACTTCATGGACCACTCCTCCCATGTCATCTTAGCAAGCTGAGATAAACCCAGCATGAGTGCAGAGTATGTACTGCCTCACTATCAGTGATGATTTTTTAAAAATTAAGGTTTGACATGAAGGTTATCAGTCTAAGTTTAATCAACCTCATGATTATTTAAAAATATAGAAAGGTAGCTAATTATTCACAGTGAGTTTATTTTGTTCCTTTTATTCTTACTGTGACTTTGTCCATAATTTTAAGGAATGCGATTCCTTAATATTCAACACGTTGCTCCTTTCTCATCATCATTAAATGTTCACTTTACAAATTATTCTGTCAGTTTTTATGGGGAACTAGACTCTACACTTGAGACCATAAAACATGGAGGGAAATGACACAGCGAGTACTAATAAATTAATGACTAAATGTTGTAAGCATCTACTTTTTAAAGTAATGCAGAAATGCATAGCGGTCAATAGACTGAGGAAGGCACAGGATTCCTGGGAAATGTTTTATGAAAAACTAAATTTGAGTTAGTGCAAAAAGGCAGGTAATAGACACAATTTCATTAATATGTGAGCATCAGTTCTTTGTAGTGCCAGAAGTTGTAATAGGCACTGATGAAAGTTTGTGGGCCCCCAGCTTGAAAGAGCTGAGCTTGCTGTCTCACATCAAGACTAAAGTAAAGAGGAAGCAATGCAGTGGATGTGTGTATGAGGTGTCGTGTATGAGAAAAAGCATCAGGAGAACTCCCGCCCCCATTTCTCCACTCCCCCATCCCCACATGGGAGAGGAGCTGGTCTTTCAAGATGCAGAGATCTCTTGTATTTATTGTTAGAGTCTTCAGAGAATTTGATAAAATTTGGTGGTCATACTCTCAGATCTCATGTGTTGATTTTGTTACCAGAGATTTAGATAATCATATACTGCTAATGAAGACACAAACATGTGTCCCTCAGGGAATGAAATGGACATATTTATGTAAAGT